TTCTCTCTCCGAAGCTAGCAGATTGTCTGGGTTTACCTCTGCTCCATGAAGCTTTCACTCTAAGACCAGTGGTCTTCCAAGGGTATGCTCTTCTCAGAAGCATGACAGACACGTCACGGATTGAGTCCGTGCAGGTGGGCGTATTGATTGTATTTGCATCACACACACACTACTATTTCATTAACATTCCAGCTACAAGACCAAGCTCACCCTCAAGGGGACAGAAAGTTGTAATCATCCCTTGGAAGTGGAGGAGAGGATTAGGACATAAATACTGAGTAAGACATATACTTACACTGAAGACTGGAAGTCACAGAAAGTGCAAAGTAAAACTGACTTGATTGAAGAACTGGTTTGTTTGAAGAAAAGTGGAAGAATAAAGACCTAGGCCAATCATGACTCATGGCCTATTGAGGGCTTATTGCTGGTCCTCACAAAGCCAAGAAATGATGGGGTGTGCAGGTGGCTGAGGGGACAGGCTGCTGAGCAGGAGAAGTGTTTTTCACATTCCCTTCCCACTAATGTTTACCCTGAGCAGACCATAGTAGCTTTTTCTAATTCTTTCCGTCTTTCTCTGATTCACTAACGACTATCACTTTTCTGTCTTCGTGGATTTAATCGAACCTGTTTTGTGGATGGGTGGCAGGTAGACAGGGGGAGAAACGTCCTTAAATGCTTAGCCACCAAGTGCCACGGATCGTTTGCAGCTCTCACTGGTACTTGTTCTTGCCAGCATGAATTAATTCTCCTTGAATTTCTTTCCACTGCCTTTCTGATATCACACCTGCATTTTTTCTGATTCCTCTTTCTTTACACTGTTTCTGGGATTACTGTGCTCCAAAGTCTCAATTTTGTTCAATAGTTCCTGTCATTCCATGGGGACTTCTGTGCCCATCTAATCCATGTTCTGTATGGATAATTCCTCCCTAGCTATGTTTATTTGTTTTTCATTTTGGGGGTCTTCATTTTGGAGACAGTTTAGGCTGGTCTTGACTTCACCATGCAGCCGAGACTGGCCTTGAACTCCTGGCATTCCTCCTGCCTCAGCCTCCCAAGTGCTGAGGCTACAGGTGTGTGCCACCATGCCTGACTCCCCAACTACATTTAAAATCTTGACTGCTTTCAGATTCCAAATTCAGGTATCCAACTGATCATTTAAAATATATTAATCTTGATTTTACATAGGTAAGCTAAATAAAAATGACCACAGCAAACCTCAGCGCTCCAACCTCCAAAGCTGCTCTTCTCAGAGAGAGTTGTAAACCATAGTCCCAAGTTTACTAAATTTAAATACTGGCTGTCATCCTTCAATGGCCCCTTGGCTTTAACCCTGTCTCCTCTGTTTAGTCAGTAAAGTTCCAAGAAGAAAGGCTTTTTAAAAAGCATTTATCACTACTTAGTGACCAAGGTAATTATCATTCAAAAATATGCCGTTAGCCAGGCGTGGTGGCGCACGCCTGTAATCCCAGCATTCGGGAGGCTGAGACAGGAGGATCACTGTGAGTTTGAGACTACCCTGGGCTACATAGTGAGTTCCAGGGCAGTCTCAACTACATAGTAAGACCCTGTCTCAAAAAAACAAAAAACAAAAACCCCTAAAATATACTGTTGACTGGGTTTTTTGCTCTCTTTAAAGCATTCTACTAACAGTGCACTTTAGAAGAAGTCCAAACTCTTTACCAGGAGATATAATGGCCACCAAGTCTGTGTTTCTTCAAGTTGAACGCAATGAACAGGCAAGAGAAAGCCTAAAATTCTCTAAGTGGAGTTTAGTGGGTGATTCTGGTGGGGGCTCAAAAGACTAAAATGCCGACAGAAAATTCAGATGGAAATGAGGGCTCTATTGAGATTTGGACTAGAAACCACCCTTGCTATTCCAAAGGACTTAGATGGCATTTGGTCTGCCTCTGAGACTCTGCGAGCAGCAGAGTTTAAAGGTGATGGGCTAGTGTGTCTGGTGGAGGAAATTTCAAGGCAGCCAGTCACTCAGTCTGTGGCCTGGGTATAGTGGCTGTTTTTAGCCAAATCTGCGGTAAGAATTAGGTGCACAAAGGAGCAAAGTGGAAAGATTCAAAAAATTTGTGATCAAAGAAGTACAGTATGTATGTGCAAAGGCGTTGAGTTTCATTTCATTCTGAAAAAGGCAAGAATGGATGATTTTATTGTAGACACAGTAAAGCAGTCTTTTTTTGGTATGGGGGATCGAACTTAGGACCTTGTGCTCGTGAGACAGGCGGCGGGAACCACTGAGCTAAATCCCCAGATCAGTAAAGCAGTCTTCATGAAAGGCACAGTCTGAATGTTATGATTGTTTTGTCCAAGTCATATGCAGAAGGGGATAGAGTGGAGGGAAGGGAGTCAAGTTCTATATGTGAGTGGAGCCAAGATTTCTTCTAAAGGTGATGAATGGGTTTCCACTATTAACCCCTAAACCAGAGCTCATGGGCTGGGTCCTGAGTAAGAGGATATAATCAGGAACCTTTTCACTGAAGGCTAAAGATAGGAGGCCGTGACAAAGAGGAAAGATAGGCAGAATTAAAAGGAAGGAGCTCCTCCTGTGAAGGAGTATGGCCGACAGGTAACTAGGACCTACTCCAAACATATTGTCACGCCACTAAAATCTTCCAATGTCTTCCACTTTCAGAGCCTCGACTAGACAGACACTTTCTCTACCTATTGAGTTCCCACTGGACACTGTCCTGAGCAGGCCCGGCTGAGAGCTAAGCCTTCAGTCAAGACTTAAATGTGAACAAATGCGCAAAAGCGCTGAAGAAAGACTTGAGGAAGAAGAGAGAGAAAAGAGGCATCAAAGGATGCTGGGATAGAGTCAAGCATTTGGGAGTTTGGTCTAAACAGGAAGTCAAATTTGAGGGTATCTCATGTCGTCCTTGACCCCATTTCTCTTAGAATTTTTTCCAGTCCAAACAAGTAGGTCCTTGTGGCCATGTTTGTACTGGAGGAAGATCAGACCATGCCGATGGAACTCAAGGGCGGAAGTGATGCACTTTATAACCCCAACCTAGATATTCAGAAGGCACAAAGTGGATGCAGATGCTTAGGGAAAAAAAGAAGAGGGAGGGAAGTTCCATAGAACCGAGTGAAGTGGCTGCCTGAGGTTTTGGAGGTGGTCCAGGTTACTGTAGGCAACTGAGATCTAGTTGATTGCTCTGTTCTTGGATCTTGTGAAATATTCCTGGATCCCTGAAATATGGCATTCTTTGACAATCTGAGTAGGTCTAGGCATCTTGTAACCCAGTGATATCTGATTAAGAAAACCTTCATAGAAGATACGGGGCCAAGATTTATTACCAAATATCATGAGCTTGTGCACAGGTTTTTACTCTTATTAATAACATTTTTATGAGATTCTCTCAGGATATGCTAACCAGTATGAAACCCAAAGGCTAAGGGTGGTGGTATGTTCTTCTTATGTCAGCACTTGGGAGGCTGAGGGAGGAGGGTCACTTGATTCCAAGTTTCGGGCCAGCCTGGGCAACATAGCTAGACCGCATCTCAAAAGCAAAGCAAAGCAAAGCAAAGCAAAGCAAAAACTAAATTAACTCAGGAGGTCTAATCTCTGCATAATATGACATTCATAGACACTACAGTCTGACTCCTGAAAATTTATTGTAGTTTACTTAAAAATAAACAATTGAAGTTTAACTAAACAATACGATATTGCCCCCACCCCTTTTCACACTGTATTTAACTGAAAATTTTCCTAAATATATTTTTTTGGAAAGACATCTTGGAGACTGTGGACCAATTCAGATCACAAGAAAAGAGATTTGTCAATAGCCAAAAGCTAAGGCAAACATAATGCTGAGCAAATACAGAAAATAAAAGCTTAATGTACACAGAGAGACCTGTGTTGGGACCCAGCTGTGCGACTTTGGGGACTCTTACTTAATCTCTCCAAGTCTTAGCTACCTCCTCTGTAAAAAGGGGAACAAGTGCTTGAATCAAAGGTGATTGTGAACACTAAGTGGGTTAATATGTACTTTTGCTTGGCATATCCCTATCTCTGGGCAAAGGCTTAGTGACTGACTAATAATCAGCATTCTTATCATTATTATCATTACTGAACATCTCAGGAGCAAGAGTCAAAGGCTTTCGGAGAACCCTTTCTTTCTTCAGCTTACTCAATCTGGGTAGGAGGATTCATCTTTCATCTCTGGGTTATAGGGGAAATGCTCGAAGTCCTCACCTCCTTCTCTCTCCTGGACCCTCGCACCTGGTCCAGACGTGCCAGGAGCTGAGCTTGTAATTCTCCCTCAACAGCAGCCCTCGTCCAGTCTATCTCCGTGGGGTCCCCAACCCACAAGCTATTGCAAAGAGACGGCCCCCCGTTTTCCTTGCCTTCCCCAAAGACTATCCTTACGGTCTTGATTTTCTAATGATTTCATTACTTATCTAGGATGAGTAGATAACCCCAAATCATGAGCCATGGCGACTGACTTTTTGAGGTGCTTACGTTGTTCCCCAGCTGTGATCGGAGGCCTGTCGATGTCCCGCAGAGAAAATGATAATGAACCTAGGACAGTGCTGGTGGTACTTCCCCACCTCTGGTCGTGATAACCCTAAGGTTTGGTGATGTGGAGACGACTCACATTCTCTCTCTCTTTCTCCGGTCCTTTTTCTAAGTCTCTCCAATTCTTTCTTTTTTCCTCCCTTTATTCCATTTTCATTTGTTCCTCCTTCTGACACTTCCTCCCTGCCTTTTTCAATTATTTTCCCTTGCTGTTTTAATCTTTCTTATTAATTTTTCTGTTACTCATTAACTCCTCTCCCTGTGCACATTCCCTCTCTCTCTCTCTCTCTCTCTCTCTCTCTCTCTCTCTCTCTCTCTCTCTCTTTCCTCTCTCTTCTTTTCTTACACACTA